CTCTGTCCCCGCCATCTCGGTAATACGGAACTTAAGCACCGGTCGTTTTAGAGGCAACGGCAACTTTAGCGACCGAAAGAGCCTGGGAAGAGAACAACGTCGTTCCCGCCAAAATATAAACGTTAAGCAGCTAGACGAGGTTTGCGGCGGCGACGTGGGTAGCAAACTCTGTTCGCTTTTAAGATAAGCTGTGTGAGAGCATGTCATCCTTCAGTGAGATGAGAAATCTGCTTCTTTTTTTGTACGATAGTAAAATCATCAGTGACGAAGAATTTTTGACCTTGTACGAAAGTTACAGTTCCAAGAATCCAGAATTCCCTTACAGCTCCTACCCTAAGTTTGATTTCGACCAGATGGATGAATCAGAGTGTTTAGCGGAGTTCAGACTGCGAAAACAGGACATAACGTTATTGGCAAATTTCCAATTACCACTATACGCTGTCCACAAAGAACAACGTGTGACCGAACTGAAGGGCTTAGTATGCTTTTGAAGCGCTTCTCGTATCCATGTCGCTATTCAGACATCGTTTCGCAAGACCAGTTCCTGAAATAAGTATGATTACCAGTACAATGACGGATCATATTTTTTTTGAGCCATAGTCATCCTATTTCACAATGGAATTTTGATAAATTGATTCCGCCAATGCTACAGGAGTATGCAGATGTTACTCATGCAAATAGTGCACCTCTCAGCAACTGTTTTGGATTTATTGATGGAACAGTCAGACCAATTTCTCGCCCAGGCCGACACCTAACAATAGTGTACAATGGCCATAAACGGGTACATTCCCTCAGGTTTCAGTCCGTCGCTCTACCAAATGAACTCACTGGAAATATGTATGGGCCCGTCGGTAAGTTATGTTCACTGGGATGCCATGAATATAAGCTGCCACACAAGGTTTCTTTAATTTATTAACTGTATTTATCCGTTTTGGTATGCAGGGGGGAGAAAACATGATGCAAGCATGTTGGTAGATTCCAATCTTCTCCAGGAATTGGAAACGAATGCATTTTCCCCAACTGGCCAACCCATGAGTGTTTATTGTGATCCCGCCTATCCGCTGCGAATACACCTACAGGCTCCATTTCGCCATGGTGTCCTAACACCGATGATAGAACAATACAATTTTGACCTAAGTTCTGTTAGAGTACCGGTGGAGTGGCTATTTGGTGACATCATCAACGACCTCAAGTTTTTTAACTTTAAGAAAAACCTGAAAATTGGAATGAGTTGAGTGGGAAAAATGTATCTTGTATGTGCACTTCTTAATAATGCTGGTACCTGCCTATATGGAAACAAAACCTCAGAGTTTTTTGCTCTAGACCCTCCTTCATTGCAGTATTATTTTAGATAAATTCTCTCTTATAAACCGAGCAGAAATGAGGGCCATTATAATTCAACATAAATTCATTAAGTACTTGAATTCTTCTTGGTGGTCAACAATGCAGAAGTGATCAAACTTGTAACAATAATAATGAATGAACTTGGTTTTTTTTTCGAATTCACAAAACGCAAGTAAATAATAAGACATCAATTTCAACAAATACCTGTCTTTTTTCTGAAACAAATAAACACTGACTTTACATGTTCATACTTAGGGAAAATGTCATTCCTTCTTCTCAAGAAGCTTTTCAATAACCGACAGAATGGCTTGATTTGTTTGTTGTTGTTGCTGTAAGACAGTCACCATCACTCGCTGATTCTGCTCTTGCTCTAGTCTTCTTAGATCCAGCTCTTGTTGTCGTAATTCTCGCTCAGTCTTGACTTTCTCTTGCATGAATTCAACTAGTGGTTCGGTGCGAGCACTTCTCCGTTGGCGCTTCGGTTTCTCCACGCATTCGTCGCCATTCTCTGTTGACTTTCGCTTTTCCGTTTCGCTGTATCGCTCTAAAGCTTTCTGCCTTATGTCCTCTGCCTTGCTTTTATCTTCTTTTTGCTTTCTTGACTGAGCATCACCAACTTTGTTTAAGCTTTCTTCTTTCCCGACGAGTTCTTCTAGCAAAACATCTATTTCAGACATATCGTCCACGGATATTCCACTTGCAGTTTCTTCTTGATGCATCTTAGCCTTATACTTCTTCTGGAGAAGAACCCATCGGTCTCTTACTGCCCTCTTATCTTTGAGATGAAAACAGAGTGTCTTCACTTGATTTAACTTTTCTGTGATCGATTCCCACCTTTCTCCCCTGGCAACACTTCCTTTTTTGAATGAAAACAAATCGCTCGCCAGGATTTCTCGAAGCAAAATAACATCATGATCTTCAGTCCACTCCATAGCTCTAAAAGCAAAATACGACAATTCATCTATTTGACCGATGGTCGAGGAAAAATGTAAACTTGTTAAGATAAACATAAAAATATTTTCCGTTGAAATGTCTTCGAAAGACTCAATAGTTAAGCTTACTTTGCCTTTCCATCGGAGGCGGGCGCCGACATCTTTTGCTCAAAGCTACGAGAAATGAAAATGTCCGTGTGTTTATCTATATTTGAGTATACAGTTTGAACAACATGAAAGAAAATAATTCTAAAAAGGTAACAAGAGCAAAATAAAATGTTACAACAAGTTTGAGACAAGCTAGTGAGGGAAAAATACTCACGTTCTGGATACAACGCCAAAATGAAGGTTCTCACGTTCGCGCGAAACGAAGGCGACTTGACAGACAACTCCAGAACGCCTACCGGAACAAAAAGTCACTTCCGGTCACCGTCGCCGTCGCAAAATAGCCTGGTGCTTAAGTTCTCTAATGGGAAGCTTACTGAGATGCTCCTTCACTTGCCAAACCAGATAAAGCAGAAAGTCCCAATGTCTTTCCAACAGTTGGTAAAAGAGTTCTTCTTAGTCTAATAATTGATGTTAAAAGGCTGCCTCCAATTTGGTTTCTGATGCTTGATTGAGCCAATTTTATATCCATACCTTTTTTCAATTGACGATGTTTGTTAACCGTTTGGCGACTGTCTCTAGAACCAAGAGTTTATCATTACCTGTCAATGCGTTCGAAGCTAATCTCAATGTTATTGACTGTTTGTTTTTATAAGCTCTACCTAGATTAATTTTTTGTTTTTTTTGATTTGATGATAGTTTAACGTTGATTTCAAATAACTGTGTCATATCTTGTATATAATATACGCTATACAATTATTCAATCATATAACATATTCAATTGACAAGAAAAGAGATAGATCAATCAATCAAAAATTTAAATAATTTACACTATCAGCAATTCATTATCGACTTGTTTTATTATTAATTCTTTATCGTAAAGTACAACAGCATTCAATTTGAAAACACCATCAGCAGCTGCTCGAGCATTGAGTTTATATCTAAAAATAAGCTGTTTGGGATCTCTTGTAACCTTTCCAGTTTGATAACGGAGATCGAAATACATAACTCCGAAAAGAGAATTGAAATTACTGACATTAAGTTTCGTGCCTGAATTGTAATCATTCTTGCGCATTGCGTAACTCATCAAATCATTCAATATTCTCACTTTGGAGTCGCTATCGTATTCCACTTCGGGATAAAATACGCCATTACCATATTCTAAACGACAAGTTGCAAGATAACTACCACCACCACGGTCAGCGTGATATAGTGATATAGTGATATAGTGCCACTGAGATGATCTTTCAAACACTTCTTGCATATAAGTCCACTGATCCACTTTCATAAAGTTTGATAGAAATTGTTCGTAAAGACTATCTTTTTGTTGGAGTCTGTGAACCCATAAAAAGAATCAATCGATGACAACGCGAGCATTATCGACAGCGTTGAATTTGCAGATGAGATTTGCGTCATCTAATAGCTGGATTTTAAATTGTAACTTCATTGGTGGTAACGTACGATCTTCAAGCTCTTCGAAAAATGAATAACGGTTGAGAGGAATGATTACATTTACATCATTGTTTCCACTTGTTTTGACGTGCAATGCTATTTGTCGCCAGTGGTGTGTGAAGAAGCAAGTTAGAACAAAAAATGCGAGGCTTTGGAGAGGAACATTCTTCTCTCCACTTTTGCCGGCACGGAATGCCTGTAATAGGCTGGCGTGACACTACAGCTTGAAAACACATAATGGGGCTGGCTTCAGATCCTTTTTAAAGAAAAAGCAAGAAAATTAAAATTACGCGTCATAAGTAGAGCCGATTTTGAATTATAAACCATCCGAGGGAAAAGGTCCCCGTGTTGCAATGAAATACAAAATTAATTTTTATTATATTAATTCTTGCCTTTTTCACAATCGTGGCCAGTGAACCCAGACGCACATAAGCATCGATATTGTTTTCTTGTGAATCCCGACTGGCAGGTGCCGTGGTTTTTACATGGAGATTGAGCAAAAAAATTCTTAAAAAAAAAAAGAAAAAAAGAAGAAAAAGGATGTCACAAGTAACTATTCAATACCTTAACAACATTCTCCGACATCTCACCGAGAACTTGAATACAAAAAGAAAAAAAAAATCGGGAAGGGGTGCCTGTAGATAGGATTTAAAGAGTATAGTGACGTCCCTAAGAACAACATCTAGGAACCCCGGTAATAGCTCAATTGTATCTTTCTTCCTGTTTTTAGCATCTCCCGGGCCATGAAATTGATCTTATTATTGCGACTGTTTTTTAGCTTCAAACCTATGGAATAAAATTGCCTTTTGCAGAAATGCCTTAAAATAATCATTCCAGTTATCTTTTCTCCCGAGAATTTTATTATTAGAAGCGTGGTTGTGCTTTCTATAATAGAAAAGCGATCAATTGTTTACTCAAGGCAGGTGAGCATGGCTCTAAAATGAATACGACAAAGTACTCGCTTATGTTAACGGTGTTGGGTGTCCGTCCTCAAGCCGCTCAAAGGATTTTTGTTTTTGGTAATTTATTATGTACAAAAAATCAGTAGCGACGCTAGCAGGTGGTTAAAAGTATGTAAAAGTAACAAATAATAGATGAAAGTATCCCTCAGCTCTCATGAATGGCTTAAAAAGAGAGAGGTGCAATTGACATTTAATTAACAGCTCGTCTGTGTACCTTAGTTCCATGGTACACATAATTCGATGCTTGTACCAGATCCTCATCATACTCTTTAGCAGTTGAGTTATTCAGTTCACAGTTGTGTGCTTCTGCCCCATTTTCTCCAAAATAAAAGTTAACACTGACGCAGTTATAGTTCAGGTAGCAACGGTATTCACAGGTGTCCCTGTCAATCACACAGATATTTGCTATGGTGTGGTTAATAAGACGTTCTCCCAAGAAGAACAGGGTCGATGGAAAGGCTAATATACGGCATTGATCTAAAAATTCAAATCATTAAAAGTCAAATAGCGTCATGGGTTCTAAAGGTCTAGGTTGCTGTTAAACTCGTTTTCCGAGCGCTTGGGTCTTGCCTTGATAACTATGACGTATTCAGTAAGATACCAAGATCAAATTATATATATCGTTT